GGTGTTAAAAATTTATCCACACCCTATCCGAAACTTGAACTAATCGAAATTTTATTATAAATATAATAATATAATTTATATATTTAATTTTAAATATATTTCATAATTAATAATATATTAATTTTTAAAAGTCTTTTGGTTACTTATTAGTATTTGTCTTATTTTTAGTTTGATAGTATATGAAAAAATATAAATAATAAAATAATAAAAATATTTTTTTTAAAAAAAACTCAAAATTGATAAAACAATATTTTAGGTATATCCAAACAAACCTGAAATAATTTCACTCGAACTGAACATATCCGAATTAAATTTGGTTCGGATATCGGGTGTCAAAACATCACTCGAAATTTTTGAATATCCTAAATAAAATTCGAGTATCACCCGAACCGAACCGACGCTCACCCCTAGTGTGCACAAGTGGTCTTAATCTCCTTGATCAGTCAAAGTCTGCCATAAGAACCTCTACATTGTCGCTAAAGTAAGACATTATAGTTATCAGTCAAACCAACTGACTAACGAACTAACCCTGCAGGACCTTTTCTTTATAATAAAAAATGTTCAAATTAGACATCAAACAACACGCAAAATATTACACACTGACTTTTTGCGTATATATAGTTGAGTGACTAATTTGAATTTCTTTTACTTCTTTAATTATATTATTATTCCCATAATATGAGGGTAGCCCATTACTACATATATAGTATACTAGTATTTTCTATGCGTTATGCGCAACAATAGTTGCCCAATATTAATACTTGATATTAAAATTTTAGATTTATTTAGATTTTAGATATTTAAATTATTGTGAATAATAATAATAATCTAAAACATTTTAATAAATTTAATATTTATAATTTAGGAATTAACTAACATATAACTCCAATTGTAGAATAAAATTTGTAAATACAATACATAGTCATCAGGTAATCAATTGCAGTACTTGAATTGAGCTTGTGAATACAAAACAAGGTAATCAATTAACATATATATATATATATATATATATATATATATATATATATATATATATATATATATATATATGTTAAGATTGTGTGTTCGTAGTATACAAATTGTAAACTTTTAAAGGTAAATTATAAATATTTAGTATGTAAATTGTGAACATTTGAAGTTTTGGACCCAAATCCAACTGGCAAGGCGGACCTGGGTCTACAGTATAATTGGCCGTATGTGATTGGAGAGATTGACATATACATAATTGTAATTATATGATATGTTTTAGTTATTGTTCAAGCGTCATATAACTACCCATGAAAATAAAATTTAAGAAGTTTTTTTTTTTTTTTTTTGAAAAAAAAAATTTAAGAAGTTATTGTTATAAAATTCTTATCATTACCTCCCTATTTTAGATTAAAACGGCAACTAATAATTTAAACTTCTTTACCAAATAAAAATTGGCACTCAATAAATTTATTTTAATTAGAAGATATATTCGTGCCATTTTAAAGATCTCAATTAGAACTTTTAATTTAATGATATATTTTTACATTAATTTTATTTGTACAAAATTAAAAGAAAAAAGAAAAATAAATTCAGGTTAAAAAAAAAAGGTATAAGAAGAAAAAATAGGGATGTATTAGGTGCATGTAGCAATTTTATTTGTTAGGGTAGCCATAATAGTGCCTTTTTTGCAGAACAAAAAACTTGGTGTGGGTTATTAATTGGTTGGGGAGGATTTTTTTTTAAAAAAAAAATAAAAAAATAAAAAAAATCTCTTGCAAGTTAGTTTTTTGTGGAGTTCACTGAATGGTAAAAGGGAGAAAATTGGCGCTCCTTCTGTGCGTGAAAGGAACAATCGCGTGTAGCTTGGCGCGTGTTGTGGTGATTCAAACAACATATTCCTTGCGGTGGAGCGCACGGGAGCCATTAAAGAAAAGAGAAGAGAAGAAAATGGTAAAGTAAATTAAAAAAAAAAAAAACAAATTTGTCCTCATCAGCAATAAAAAAATTCAGCTATCATGCTTTTTACCGACAATTTGGTAAGAGAGACTGAAGTTAAAAAAAAAAAACTAAATAATTATAAATTGAAATTGATTATTTTAAAAATTTGTGAACCCTAATTAACAATATTGTAATAGTTATAAGATCAAAAGGAAATTTATTTATTTATTTGTATGCAATTTGTCTATCCAATGCATTGTCGTACTCGATGGAGACTTTCAAAGTCAAGCATATGTGCTGCAATAATGTTATATGTACCATGCAGGCATGCAATAATAATATATAATAAGTGCAGTGTCCCCTGTCCCACACTCACATATATCATGCAAAACTAACGCAATAATTGTTCGAGTGTATAAATTCACCGCGTTCCACACTCACATGTGATGTCATTTGTTTTAATTTTATTGAATACAAAATAATAATAATAATAATAATAATAATAATAATATAATAATAATAATAATAATAATAAATAAATAAATAATAAAAATAATAAGTAAATTATAAAATAAATAAATAAAATTTCATATATTATTTTTTCTTGATAAGTTAAAACATGTCATATTTGTAGGGAGTAAAGAGTAATGTAAGTACGACTACCATGTGTATAGAGAGCAAAATCAAATTTCCGACTTTATAATAAGTCGTGTAAGAGTTCGTTGTAGAGGGTGGGAGAAAATAAAAAACGCTCCTATAGATATCGTAAGTGTTCTGTTTGAGAATTGTTTCAGTCAACTCAACTCGCGTGATATCTGTGTGAGGCCAGTAACCCTCATAGATTGAGGCTTGTTCTCCTCCAGATCTAAAAATTTAAATTAAAAAAAAAATCAAAGTAATGTAAGTACTAAGTATAGTATAACTCTAATATATAGAGGAGACTTCACAAGTCAAGCATATATGATGTATTGATTCTTTTAAAAAATAATAAAAATTGTCTGCAATTTGTCTATCCAACGTGCAGTGTTGTCTACTTGGCGGAGACTAACAAGTCAAGCACATTTGATGTAGTAATAAATGTTAATAGTACCATACCATCCAAAATATATAGTGTAATAATTGTTAGGCTATGCATGCATTTGCAATTGCAATTTTACGTTACTCCTACTAAAATTTCGCGCTTATCACTATGACAAAAGTTATTACATTTTTTTTTACTTGAGTAACGCCATGTTTTGATGATGGATGTTAAACTCGGTTTTCTAAGTCTCCTTCCAATACAAAAATACAAATTATTAACTCTATTACAATGCAATAACTGTTCATTGAGGCTCAATCCCACAATCTCCCTTATATAAGGGAGCAATTTGGTGCCAGTAGATTATAAAGTTCTTGGCATAATCAGATTTACTTTAAAAGTTTACAAAAAATAAACTCTAGTAACAAACTTGCAAATCCTACACGCTCCTTTGTACTTTTTTCTTTATTAATATTATTATTAAAATAAGTTTTTTTTTTTTTTTTTTTTTTTTTTTTTTTTTTTAGTAATGTGAAAGTGAACCACGTTTGAAAATGGCTTTAAATTCACTAGTGGAAATTATGGAATTTCCGACCACGTGAAAGTGATCTTAAATCAAGTTGATACTAAAAAGTGGTCGGAAATAGCAACAAAGGTTTTTCCAGATACCAAAAGTGGTCAGAACAAGGCTTTTGACTTGATTTAAGATCACTTTCAGGTGGTCGAAAATTTCATAATTTCCAGTAGTGATTGCTTGACTGTAACGTGAATAGTGCTGAATTATAAATTTAGTGATATAACAATGTGATTCATTTTGGAGTAGCTTGTTAATTAATACGGAGTAGAAAATAAATTATTTATTCAAGACGTGACTATTTAATATATGTAATATGTAATATTTTATTTTTTGGGTGCCTAGAGAAATTTGCACCTATTTTTCAAGGGTGTGCATGTGGTTACCTTAAATAAAAAATGAAGGGAGAAGACATGGAAAAATATTATGTAGACTCTCATTTTTACTCGTTCTTCGAATTTTGCGAACACGTTTCTCTGGATTCCACATGATAAAAATAGTATATCCTTCTCTTACAAGGTTGAATCCCTAACTCCAAGGGCTCCACACCCCGACCTGACAGAGCATTTACGATGATATAAATCACAGTGACTCAATGGCTGAGCAGATAGGGGTAAATTATATCGTGCACCGCGGGGCATAATCGATTATGCACCGCACATCAAAATGACGTTGTTTTGTTTAATGAAAAGAAACGGCATCAGTTTCCCACCGTTCCGCACCCTTCCGCAAAAAGTAACTCTGTTATTCAGTTTCATTTTGTATACACTACAGTTTCAGTTCAACACAACTACAATTTCATTTTGATAGAACTACAGTTTCATTCGATATTTATAGACTCAAATATGTGAAAATGTTATTTAATTTTATTTTATATACACTATAGTTTTATTAAAATACGACTACATGGTCATTTTGATGTAATTACAGCTTCATTGTACAATATACACTCAAATATGTGAAATGTTATTCAGTTTCATTTTATATACATTGCAATTTCATTTCACCACAACTACAGTACCATTTTGATATAACTGCAGTTTCATTTGATAATATAAAAATAATACGTGAGACAGTGTCGGTTTAGATATACTGTAGTGTCAGTTGGTAATTAACATAAAAAAGAAATGCGCGCTCTGTTAATACTAACGGCGCGCCACCGCGGTCCACGATATAACGACCCGCAGACAGGGCCAAATGTTGATGCGCTCAAGGGATCTAACCACTTCAAAAAAATAGTCTATCTTGAAAGTCACGTGACTTAATTAATGGCTTAACTGACAGATAAGAGCCAAATGTCTACAAGGGATTTACCCACTTTGAAAAAGTAATCTATTCTTGTTTGTCACGTCATGAAGTAAAAGTGATATATTAGAATTTGAAAATGCATATTAGTAGAACTGGAAGAAAAGTCTCCTAAAGTGTTCCCTCAAGAGTAGTGCAAGGAATTGCATATATAGTAGCTGTAAACCAAGTTACACATCCATAATCCAACACAGACCAAACGTTCATTTGTAGTGTTGTCGAACAATATGAGCTTCCTTGCAGCAGTTCTTGTGTTGTCGGCAGTAATAAGTTTTGCTCCTACTGCCGCCCCATCAAAAAGTAATTATCCCATAGCCAAACCCAACTGTGATGATCATTGTGGGAACGTAAGCATCCCATTTCCCTTTGGTTTGACCCCAGATTGTTCTCTAAACTCAGACTTCTTCATCAATTGCGCCACTTCCATTGATGGTTCTCCTACGCCATTGTTAGGGCACGGTAATCTACGGGTAAGAAGGATATCAATTGAAGGGCAGTTGATCGTGATGAAACACATAGCTAAATATTGCGATGAAGGTAACAGCCCACAGGACAAATCATCATGGATCAGATTATCAAAACAGTACGTCAACCAGACCGCCAATAAGTTCATCGCTGTGGGCTGCAGCACTACTGCCACTGTCTTGGGAGAAGACAATGGACGGTCGTACCAAATTGGTTGTATAGCCACCTGTAACCGCTTCCAAGGTGTGCCAAATGGGACTTGCTCGGGAATCGGGTGTTGCCAGATGAATGACATTCCTATCGTGACCAGGAACCTGAATTTTAAATTGGAAACCAAGGCGACGAAAACAGATGGCATTATTACTGATTGTAGCTATGCCTTTGTGGTGAAAAAGGACGAGTTCCACTTCTCCTCCGATATGCTTACCCAACAATGGGAAGTGCAGAGAATGCCAATGGTAATTGATTGGGTCATCTTCAACGATACGTGCAGTAACTCAGGCAGAACATGCCAAGGTAACACCACATGTGTCCCTTTTGAAGGTCCTGATGGGGGATACAGATGCGCTTGTGAGAAGGGTTATGAAGGCAATCCATATCTCCATCCTGGTTGCCTAGGTACATACATACTGTCTAGTCTCATCTAAACTTTATATGTACAATTCCATTACTTATTTTTGTATAGCCACATAACAGCGCAGTCTTAGTTGGTCAAACCAACTAATTCAATCAAATATCCCCTATTAACTAACTCAATCAACTATCTGTCATGTAGTGACCTCACTCATGTGCGAGGCCATTAGATCGAGCCTCAGTGGAGGCGTTGTGGAATCTATGTGTTTATTAGGTTGAGAAAGTATATTTGAACAGATACTACAATGTAATAGAGTCTGTAGCATTTAAAAAAAAAAAAATATCAGTCATGTTGAAAAAATTGCTAGGCGCTTCACGTAGGCTCGGGACGCCTAAGCAGGGATTAATCGGCGCTTAGTCGCCGTGTATTTTTTATTTTTTATTTTTATAAATTTGTTGAAACTTTTTAAAAAATTTTATGACTTATAATTATAAACTATTTAATAATTTAATAGTTAATACAAAAATATTAAATATTAACCTAAAAACATAGAGTTTGAACAATTAAGGGTTATTTCGTTCAGAATAATTTGGTTTTTGAGTGAAATAATAACTCATACGAAAAAGAATGGAATAATAGTTAATTGACATACTAGGCGACCTAGTTGGTGTCTAGGAGGCCTTGGCGGTCAGTACTTAGAATGCCTAGTCAGCCGCCTGGCCAGCCAACCGCCTAGACCACCGATTATGGTGATGATACACAATGCCAAATTTTTGCAACATTACTAGCTATCAGCAAATTGTTAAACACCTCCTAATCTCTTGTTATTGCCTATATATGCAGATATTGATGAATGTGCAGATGATGGACAGAACGACTGCTCCTCCAAAAACGCCACTTGCTTCAATACACTAGGCGGTTACAATTGCACTTGCAAGGCAGGTTACATTGACGATGCGAAAGGCGGTGGCTGCCAATTACCTATTAAATATGAATGCAAAGATAATAATGGAAAAGGCTGCCATTCGTCTAACAGAGTGAACTTCGTAGCTATGGGTAAACATCTTTTCCTATTCCGAAACTCTTCACCTGATTTGATATTTCCATCAACACTTGTTTAAGAAATCAAGAAATGCAGGTGTCGCTTTAGGCATGATAGTGCTGCTGATCACTGTTTTTTCTCTGTACTGGGAGCATCGGCGGAGAAAATCAGTACAAATGAAGGAGAAATTTTTTAGAGAGAATGGAGGACTGATTCTGCAACAGAGGATTGTCCAAGGTGGTGCATCTTCCAGCACAACAAGAATTTTCACTGCCCAGGAACTTGAAAAAGCCACCAACAACTATGACCAAACTAAAATTATTGGTCAAGGAGGTTTTGGCATTGTTTACAAAGGACACCTTCTTGATGGTCAAGTAGTAGCTGTTAAAAGGTCCAAAATAATGGACACAACCCAAGTCGAGCAGTTCATCAATGAGGTAATTGTGCTCTCTCAAATCAATCACAAAAACATAGTCAAACTTTTTGGCTGTTGTTTAGAGACAGAAGTTCCGTTGCTAGTTTATGAGTTCATAAGTAATGGAACGTTGTTTGAGCATATACAGAACAAAGACAAAGCATCGGTGTTACCTTGGTCGACTCGTTTAAGAATAGCTACAGAAACCGCTGAAGTACTCTCTTATTTGCATTCTGCAGCCTCTCCTCCCATCATCCACAGAGATGTTAAATCTGTGAATATTCTCCTCGATAATGATTATACTGCCAAGGTATCCGATTTTGGTGCATCGAGATTAGTTCCTCAAGATAAAACTCAATTGACAACAATGGTGCAAGGGACATTTGGTTATCTAGATCCCGAGTACATGCAAACTCATCATTTAACAGAAAAGAGTGATGTTTATAGCTTTGGAGTTGTCCTTGTAGAATTACTAACAAGTAAGAGGGCCATATCTTTTGATGGCCCAGAGTTGGAGAGAAATCTATCTCAACATTTTCTTTCATTGTTAAAAGAAAACAAGTTGTTCAAGATTCTTGATGGAAACATTTTATGCCAGGAAAACATTACTGAGGAGTTACAAGAGGTTGCCTTACTTGCAAAAAGGTGTTTGTATTTTAAAGGGGACGATAGGCCAAAGATGAAGGAAGTAGCAATGGAATTAGGTGGATTGAGGAGAGCAACTAAACATTCATGGGCTAATAATTCAGAGACTTCCATAGAATCACAGGCTTTAGTTATGAAGCAATCAATTTCCTTAAAAGATCATTTGGAGCTACCACTATCTAGCCGCTATGGAAGATAATTGTAACTTGTCCATTTCAATAAATTAGTCATTTTTTTGTGACCATTACACCATACTCACTATTAGAAAGTGCACATGGAATAAAATCGAAAGTTATGCCATGGACTCAGATCTATCTTGCAAGGTGGATCTGAGTCAAAATACACAATTTATATAATGAATGTTCTCAATTCAAATTGTAAATATTCCGTATATAAATTGTGAACATTTAGTATATAGAATCGTAAGCATTCAGTATATAAATTGTGAACATTTAGTATATAAAAATTGTGAACATTCTGTATGTAATTGTGAACATTCAGTATGTAAATTGTAAACATTCAATATGTAAATTGTGAACATTCACGATATATTTTTTACATTAGTTTTATTTGTTCAAAAAGAAAAGAAAAAATTCATGTTCAAAATAAAAGAAAAAAAAAATAGGAATGTGTTAGGTGCATCATGCATGTAGCAATTTCATTTGTTAGGGTAACCATAATAATGATTTTTTTGCTTAACAAAAAACTTGGTGTGGGTTTTTTAATTGATGGTGGGAGGGGTTTTTTCAAATCTAATCTAAATCTAATCTAAAAATCTAATAAGTGTGAATGAAGGTTGGTACCCTTCATTTATGTCCATTTTTCTGTTATCTTTTTTTATACATTAAGCTATAAATGTTGTACTATATAATTTTTTGGACAACAATACCCCCACCGTTATAACTTCCATTATCTATTTCCATTACTATTACCATGCACTTGCATCCAACATATATTTTCTTACATTCTTTAATTGTAATAATATATGTTGATATTATATTAGAATATGTAATAAATAAATTATTAACCATACCATAATTATTAATATACTTTTTAACATATAATATGAATTCTACAACTATAAATTTTATGAATTTTTATAAAATTTTAATTTTAAAAAATTATTACTATGATTTTAACATTGAATACTAATGTTGGGCACTTAGTTTTGCGCATCACGCATAGAAAAGACTAGTAATAATAATAATAGTAATAAATCTCCTACACGTTAAAGTTTTTTGTGGGGAATAGAAAAAGTGGAGAAAACTATTGCTCCTTTTGTGCGTGAAGGGAACAATTACTCACAGCTTGGCGCGTAAATGATAGTGTTTTTATTTGTTACTAGTAATTGACCCGTGCACTGTACGGCATATAAATTAAAAAGTATTAATTTTATGGATGTTATATTATAAATTGTGTGAAATAATGAGGTTATAATTTATAATATATAAATGAATTCTGTTTGGAAATTGAACTAAAAAAAATATGTAAACGGTATATTACAAATAGTTGAAATTAATGTTATGGTATTAAAAAAAAAAAAAAAAAATTTACAAAATTACAAATTATTGAAAACTTCATTATACAACATTAGTGGTTGATGTAGTAATTGAACTTGAGTCTTTTAATATCAATATTTTCAGACCATCTGGATTGTTAACCCGAGATGGAGCCACGTACAACTGACCATGTTCAAAAACCGGTTTTTTTAGTATTAATCCGACCTGAGACAACGTTTGTCCTCGACTTTTGTTTATGGTCATTGCATATGATAGCATCAATGGAAATTGTCTTCGTTGAAACTAAAATGACAATCTTGGATCGGAGGGTGACATGGACATTCGGGGGATCAACACTTTTGTTCCTTTATTAGAACCAGTTATTATCTCGGCTTCAATAACATGGTCTGCTAACTTTGTGATTACCAACCGAGTACCATTGCACAAACCAACTGAATGGTCGATATTTCTCATCAACATGACCGGTGACCCAATTTTCAAAGTCAGCGTATGATTTGGTAGACCTGAAACTCTAATGCCGTTTAGAAATTCCGGTGTGTGTACATCTCCAATTATACGTTGTTGGCATCCGCTTTGCATACTGCGTCAAAACTAAAATATGTCCTGTTTTCAGCAGTATGCAACGCACTCATATATTCATTAACTGAGTTGACCACATCTAGGGTTGGTGCTAATATAGCACGACCTTGAAGATGTTCCGGGTTAGAATTTTGATTCACAAACATAGGAAATGTATTTCTCACAATTGTTTCAATATGATCCCCTTCTGATGACAATAACATATGATTTGGTATTTCAACCTTTGCATAACCATCATTTCGACTACCGATCTTTCCATCACTACTACAAAAAAAAAGATATCCACTACACCCATAAAATGCTTTCCGCTACACCTGTGCAGGTGTAGCGAAATCCAGTGTCGCTGAAAGCACTGGATTTCCGCTACACCCGTACAAGGTGTAGCGGAAAACTTTTTTAATTTTTTTAATATAGACTTTCCGCGGCACCCTTTAGTCTTAGGGTGCCGCGAAAAGTATTATATTATTTTTTTAATAATTGATTTCCGCGGCACCCACGTCACCTTGGGTGACGCGGAAACAATTTTATTTTTTTATATATATTACTTTCCGCTACACCCTCTCCGGAGAGGGTGTAGCGGAAATTTTAATTTTTTTTTATTTTATTTTATCCCAATTTTGATTATTACCCATTATTTGCTCAAAACCTGTACATAATTTATTTTCAAATTCACCCAAAAAATACAAAATTAATTACAAAAAATTAAACTATCTATTCACAATGATTTTCAAACCAACTCTAATAAATATGAACATAAACATAACTATATATATACTCCACAATTAATAATCAACACAATAAAACACTACAATATACTTATCAACACATTTAAAATTGAAATCAAGATATACATGAAATTGTTTAACAAAACATAAACATAAGTTAATAATAATAAAGATACTGTTTAAACGAAATAAAGTTACACGCACTCTTTACTAAAGTAATGTGCCCACAACTCACGAACTTCATCTATTTCATTGATGGAGTAGGGTGCATCTTCAAATACCTACAAAAATATTTTAATTAATCAAATTAGTTAACATGCATGTTAATTGATAAATATTAATTTAAATATACATATTGTTGTATTTAAATTACTTACCTCATCTAGACAATTAAGTTTGGAATGCTTAGTAACAATTTCGTACATGTATCGCATTACATAATATCCACATTCAGAACCTCCAGGTTGTTGTGGACACTACAATATATATATATATATATATATATATATATATATATATTCATATTAAGATCATATCAAAATAAATAAAAATAAAGGTTAAATTTCATATTAAAACTTTAACTTTAACTTCATACTCTGCATTCTTTCCAATGAATCGTTCTAGTGCTTCGTGCAGGAACAGATCGAAATGCCCTATATTAATAATAAACATTTATATCAATTTATAAATTTATAAATAACATAATAACATTCCATTGAAAGCTTTTTTCTTCTTTAAGGATGATCAATTGGGAGAAATGTCCTATGACTCATGAACACATTCTTTTTACTGTTACTCAACCATAAATTGGATGTTCCATCTTCACAAATAGGACATGCCTTAGCTCCTTTAGTAGTATAAACTGATAGGTTACCATAAGCTGGAAAATCATTTATGGTGCAAAAGATCATTGCACGTAAGGTAAAACTGCTTCGACTATAAGCATCATACACCGACACACCTTCATTCCACAACATTTTTAAATCTTCAATAAGTGGCGCTAGATATACATCTATGTCATTTCCTGGTTGTTTAGGCCCTGATATTAACAATGATAACATGATGTATTTCCGCTTCATACACAACCAAGGTGGAAGATTGTAGACTACTAAAAGGACAGGCCAAGTACTGTGTTGACTACTCATGTTACCATGAGGATTCATTCCATCAGTACACAATCCAAGTTTAAGATCCCTGTTTTCACTACCGAATTCAGGCCACCTCCTATCAATATTCCTCCATTGTGGTGAATCGGCTGGATGTCTTAGTTTTCCATCGTCTTTCCTCCCAATAGCATGCCATTGTAAATTTTTTGCATCCCTTGGATTAGCAAACATGCGTTTAAATCTTGGTATTACAGGTAAATACCATAAAACTTTCGCTGCTGGACCTTTCTTATCCTTACACACATCACCAACATTTTTCATTTTATAACGTGATGAGCTACACTTTGGACACACATGCAAGTCTTTGTATTCTTTCCAATACAATATACAATCATTTGGACATGCATGTATCCTCTCAATGTCCATACCCAACGGACACAACAACTTCTTTACTTCGTAGGTTGAAATTGGAATTTCATTTTCACTAGGAAGCATGTCTTTTAGTATTTCTAATAATCCCGTGAAACTCTTATCACTCCATCCATTCTTTGCTTTTAAATTATATAATTTAAGCACACCTGATAATTTGGTAAATTTGGTACACCCAGAGAACAAAGGTTTTTCAGCATTGTCAAACAAACATTTAAATTCAGTAGGCATTTCACTAAAATCTTCTTGCATATCACACATCATTTCATCTATTCGGTCATTAATTTCATCACCCTTATCATTGCTAACATGAGTTTCATTCTCTGCATGAGTTTCACTATATGCCTGAGCTTCATTCTTACTAACACTTGTACTAGGAGGTAAGCTTTCACCATGCCATATCCATTGCTCGTACCTTTCCTTAAAGCCACGGCGTATCAAATGGATCTTCACTTCCTCAGAACTACGATATCTTCTAAAAATTTTACAATCACAACATGGGCACGTTATAAAATCTTCCGCCTTTTTGTTTCTATTTTCTTCAGCACATTGTATAAACTCTTGAACCCCTTGTATAAATTTGAGTGTAGTGCGTTTCTCATACATCCAACTCCGATCCATATCTGTCAATTGATAATACTATGAAACGATATTAGGTAATTTGATTTTCAAATTACCTATATTGTAATCAAGGAACCTAATTGTAATCAAATTACCTATATTGTAATCAAGGTACCAACCCTGAATAATTAATGTCCTAATTGATATGGTAAAGTAGCAAAAATTTATCCAAGTGATGTTTACTTTGAATATGCTGCATTTTGGTGTGTTAGGTATTGCATGTTTATCTATGCTTTCATCCATTCTGATAGTAATCAGATAAAGAAAAACAAATAACTATTTTGCAGTATAATAATAAGACCAACCTGATTAGTCCAACGAATTCAACAAACAGCTCGTACTCGCACCGAAAATACTCTTCCACTCTCTCCTTCAGTCTCCCTACCACATCCACCCAGGCACCCAATGAATACACATAAAAAAAAAAAAAAAAAAAAAAAAAAAAAAAAAAAAAAAAAAGAAAAAGGAAGAGAACATTATTACAAATAACACACACAACATTGGTAAGTGAAGGGAAGAGAAGACAATATGCAAAAGTTATCAAGAGGCAAAGCCTTACAAAAACAAGGTCCAAAGATGGCCTAAATGACAAAGGGCCATATGGCCTTACAAAACCACAAGGCTAAAGAGCCTAAATCTACAAGGCCTTTAAAAGACTTTACAATTATAAACACAACAAGGCCATTTGGCCTTTGGTCATAACCAAGCACAAGGGTCCACCCATCAAGATGAATCCTCTTTATTCCACCTTACAAAGATCCTTCTTACATGTTCATGAGACCACCCGAATAGATCCAGAGCATGAAGCATCCTCTTCCAGAGTTGAATCAGCTCCATGGTGATTATGAATGCCCACTTAAAAAATCAACATAGAATCCCAATTTACATTCAACATAAAACATAAATAAATAAACAAATAAAATTAAAGACGCACTACATATTTTATTTTGTTATGGTCTACTAGACAAATGACCCCCCCCCCCATTGCCCCCCCCCCATTGCCCCCTTAAATAGTCAAGGTGCTCACTATCAAGCAGTACAAGATTAACAGCAAGATGGTAAACTGAATAGACTAAGGCATTTGAACAAAGGCATAATCAGTAAAGGACCCTTGAACAAAGTCAAGGGTCCTTTACTCATGCTCTTAGCCAATTTGCTGTGGTCCATGTGGTATTACATACTGGCTGCAGCTTTGGGCAGTGGAGAAGAAAGGGCCAGTCTTCATAGCAGTGTTTACGCCATTATCACTAATCATAACTGCCACCATTTCTGCAATTTTGTGGAAGGAGAAGCTTTACTTGGGAAGGTACAATAACTAACCTTAATTAATTAAGCGCATAGGTTGTTGTTCATTAATGAACTGACAAAGCTAACTAATTAAACACTGGAACTGTGGGCAGTGTTTGTGGGGCAATACTGCTGATAGGGGCACTGTACAGCTTCTTATGGGGGCAGAACTGGGAAGCAGAGGGCCAGAAAATAGAGGGTGCAGATGAGATGAAAGACACTAAAATGGAGTGCATTACGCATCATCAGTGACTGATGAGACATCCATATATGATATATGATATTATTGTTGCACATTTTCTAGCTTTTACTAAAGCCTCTCTTCAATGGAGTCTTGTCTTGTATTGTTTGCAACTTGCTAGACATGCATGGGGACTAGGTAGAAACCTATGTTCTTGCAAAAGCCCAGACAACTGAATCATTATCTTTAATTTGTACAACGTAACACAGATAATAATATATATAATGGAAGCCACATTATCAACTACATACATCAAACCAACCAACTCCATTTCACATACAGACAGATTTAATTTCCTAGATATTTGTGAAAAAAAAACTTGATGTTACGCTATGGTGAAAAATAACTCAGAAGAACTAATAATGATTGTCCACTTTTATTTGTACTAAATATCCACATGATTGGATTGGCATCCGAATTCCCTCTTTTTTTTTTTTTTTTTTTTTAACAACACAATACTAAGGCATCATCAGTAGCTACTAAATACCTCCCATTGACTAATATCACAATAACAATGAAGCAGTATACTATAAATACCTCCCATCATCAGTATACAAAAACATAAAAACATGTTTTTTCCTACTTCCATTGCAAAGTTGGAAATTTTGGAAAAATGTTTTCCATTTCCAATTATTTTCTATTTTCCATCTAAACATGTTTCCATTTTTTTTTCCACATTACTGAACAGGCCCTAAAACCTAGTTTATAATCAGCACTAATCAATCTTAGCTACTAATATCACAATAAGATAGTCAATAAGATACTAATATCACAATAACAATAATATTTAAAATAAATTAACAAAAAATTGAAATAAATTAATATAAAATAATTTTTTTTTTAAAAACTTACCGGTTATTTTGGGAATCGGCAGCTACGGGGTGTTCGGTGGCGGTGGCGAGTGAGGCAATCCGGCGAAGGAAGGGCGGCGGCGAGTGTGGCTGAGGCTGAGGCGGTGGTTGTCGGCTGTTGTCGTCGGCGAAGGAAGAGCGGTGGCGGGAATGACGGTCGGTTCTGGTCTTGGAAATGAGAGGGCGAGAGGAAGGTCGGCTGTCGGCTGTCGTCGGCAGAGGATGGGCGGCGGAATGGCTGTCGTCGCCGGCGAAGAAGGCGGACGGAGGAGAGTATTTCGCGAAGAAGGATTGAAATGGCGAAAAATGTGCGCTGTCGTCTCCAAGTCTGAGGCAAATTGAAATGGCGAAAAATGCTAAGGAGGAGGGTAGGGTATTAATTTTATTTTCTAATAAAATAATAATAAACTCTCCGCGCCACCCTCTCCAGGCGGGTGCCGCGGAAAGTTTATTAAATATTTTAATATTTAATTTTCCTGACACCTTCGGTATGAGGGTGTCGCGGAAAGATTTTTATTTCTTATTTTTTATTTCGAAATTACTTTCCACTACACCTTTATTTTAAAGGTGTAGTAGATTTTTATTTGTTTTAACTTTTCACTACACCTTCATTAAGGGGTGTAGTGTAAAGTTGTACTTATATACTCATTTGTGTACTAGTGCATTACCGATAGCAGCAATCCAATCAGCAAATTCTTGTAATGATTTTCGGTTACCACCATTGGATACCGAACTTAGTCTGAGATTTTTAGTCAAATCTTAAAACCCTGCAACTATTCCATAGATGGTTTTGGAACGGATCTTTGGAGCAGACATGGTTTTTTCTTTGCTTATGCCGGATCTTCGCAATTGGATATTGCACCGTTAGACGAAAGCTAAACCGTCCGTAGTGAGTTCGCATCACAAATTCCGGCGTAAGATTGCTGTGTTGACTCAAAAAGCCATGAATTCAGGTAAATTTTCAAGCACTCATTTCTTAATCTTTGTATTTTCGTTCGTTTTTTTCCTAAAAAATTGTAGATTCATGCACTCTGTAAAGCAAAAGCTCAATACATTATACATTTCGAACTGACCTCATTACAGATCTGGGCTTTCATTTCAGGTGCATGTTGGGAGGCAAATTATGCTATGCGCACGTGCGCACCTTGCAAGGTGCGCACGGCGCTAAAACGGCGTCGTTTTCACGGAAAACGACGCTGTTTTAACTAACAAAAAAAAATTGTTCGAAACGGCGTTAACGGCTTATTCGTTATGAAATTATGAATATACAGTTATGACATTATGAATGTACAGTTATAGAATTATGAATGTATAGTTATGGAATTATGAACTTACAATTATGAACATAGAGCTTCGAAAATTATGAATGTTCGGTATGGAATTATGAATATACAGTATGGAATTATGAATGTACAGTTATGGAATTATGAATGTACAGTTATGAAATTATGAACATAGAACTCTGACATTATAAACTTACAATTATGAACATAGAGCTTCAAAAATTATGAATTTACAGTTATTGAATTATGAATGTACAGTTATAGAATTATGAATGTACAGTTATGGAATTATGAATGTACAGTTATGAAATTATGAACACAAAGCTGTGAATATATGCTCCTATAACGAAGCGGTATGAAATTAAATTAAAAAAAAAAAAAAAAAAAAAAAAAGGGAAGATAACGGTGCCTGACGGCACCGTTACCGTGCCCATGATGCACGCTGGGCACGAGCCCACAGCATAACTATCCATGTTGGGATATCGCCTAGGGTTTGCTTAAGATGAGTTCTTTCATTCCTAATTTTGGTTCCTTTTTTTGCTAAAAAAAATGTAGATTCATGGATTTCATGCAATTTGTAAACCAAATTAGATTTATTCTGAAGACACTGTTTAAACTGCAATGTTATTTTGTTAATGTGATTTCTGTTTTTTATGAGTATTGGTTTTCTATGGCATGCATGTGTATTAAGTAGTTTGAATTTTGCTTATAGACTACCTATTTCATAAGTCTTATTTTTTTCTATGAAGATAAGGGAAAAGCACAGTATTGTGAACAACAAAATAAACAATTGAAGAAGTACAAAAGACTTTAGTTCAAAACTAAAGTTTCATTATAATTCAGAGGTACATAATATTAATATTCCCCTTTTCTATTGAAACTATCTTTAGGAATAAATAATTGACATTCTCAATTACACTGTCAATCTTCCAGCCAACCATTTAGAAAGTCATTTTCTGCGTTTGCCATTTAGAATGTCATCTTCAGTGTTTGCCATTAGGTGGTCCACTACCTGGAAAAAAAAAAAAAAAAAAGCCTATGCAAAACCGTGTATAGATGATTTATCATGTTGCAGTGAATTAGTTAAGTCTGTACTTCTAATTTGAAGCATGCCCACATGCCCATAAGGCATATAAATATTCCTAATAGGCATCAATGTCTGCTTCAAATAGTTTTACAGGCTAAATTGTCTCAAAATAGAATTCCCCTGGTGGAATCAAAGAAAAATGTTCCATGAATACAAAGTTAGTGTTAATATATGATGAGTAATATATTTTTTAAACAAAGTTAATACAAACTGTTTTTTTTTTTTTTTTTTTTTTTTTCCAAATGTGATGGGTAGTAAGTGTTACATATAGTGATAGGCATTGCAGTTAAGAATGTGAATAGTTTTTATTAGTAAAGATAAACATAGCAGCATGAGATCTAAAAAGTGTGACATATCTATGTGACTTTGCATAGCTAATTATATTCTTTTTAAATAATTTTGAACTTGTATATAATGCATCTTATATATAAATCACAAAATAAAGAATGAGCATGTAGAAACTAATATTTTTTTCAATACATATCAAAACACAATGTTTATATATTATGATTGAAAAACTTTCTTTAAAAAATTGGAACTAACAATGTATTCTATGTTTGGTAATTTTTTCAGCATACAAATGGTAAAATGATAAAGAAGATTTCAATAAGAGGTTATTAGGAACACATGTATTAGAATTTTGATGATACCAATGTAACTTAGAAGTAGACCCCTAACTTTTTGTCATTTGTTTTCGTTACCTTTGTCTTAGACAAAAGGTACCTTAACTCATTATGTAATTCGTGTTAAGCTAGACAAACACACGAAACCGAGTTAAGAATCTTTTTAGTTAGGTCTCTTCTTGTGACGAAAGAAGAACAGCTTGATGAAGCAAAGTCACAACTCGTCTGGACGACGAAAGATGATCTTCTCAACCGAAAGCTAAAACCGAAATAAGCCTTCTGACATTAATGACTGTCAAAGACAACACATCTTCTCTCAACTCAAGAAGAATGTGTCAATCTATCTAATCCGAAGATCATCCTAGGAAGAAAAATATCCTAGAAACGGGAGCACACTTACCAAGGTGCATTAAATGTCAAAGTACTATTTTTCAGTGCTAGAAGACAAAATAATCAAAAGTGCTTGTCTCCAACGGCTATGAAGTACAATCGCATTAAATGAAGCCATAAATGCACAAGGCTCTCCGGTTATTAACCACTGGATTATAGGTTTGAAATGTCATCTCCCTCTAACGGATGAATTTCTTCTCACCTATAAATACCCATCTTCTTCATGATAGAAGGGGCTGGTTTTCTGAACGATCAATCTCTCATTCACAAAAGCTCTTTAAATTAAGAACACTATCTCAAAAGCTTTTGTAATCCAGTGATTCAAGGTGTAATTCTTTGTAGAAGCAAATCTGATATCATTCACAACCTTGAAGAAGTCTTGCAACTTTGTACACGCTGCTTACCCATCCAGCCACCAGCTAGTCAAGACTTCACCGTGTTGGAAAACTCAAAGATCAATCTCATTCAATCCTCAACTCTGAAGAAGAAGTTGATAGAGGCGGAGTAAACTCTAGGAGTTGAAAAACCTTCAAGTAGCTGTCCGGCTTAGTGTTCAAGGAAGCTATCTTGGTGTAATTTGTACTAAGGAGTGATAGTGCAAACCTTTCACAAGTTGTGAAGGAAGAGTGGAGTAGGCACAGTTGGCCGAACCACTATAAAAATCTCTTGTCCCTATCTCTTTACTTTTCAGCGTTTACTTTCGTGCATTGCATTTCACTCGCCCTAACCGAAAAGTTCTCCACAAGATCAAACAGTGCAAAGAAATCTAAAACCTATATTACATATCCGTTGTGTAATAAGCCCGAAAGGAGCTATTTTCGTGAGAAAATGAATTGAGTCTATTCACCCCCCCCCCTAGACTCTCCCTTCGACCCTACCGGGACCAACAGAGGTAACAACCATAATTGAAATAAGTATAACATATAAGTTGAATTAAGGATTGAAATTAGGTATGCATTTGGAATTTACCT